AAGCATAGAAAGTTCCTCTAGGTACAAAAGGCCTCTCGGAGCATGCAAGAAATCTCCGTCGAGGCACCTACAGTGACGCTTCTAGAGGCACATCTTGGTACGGGATTGAGCCTCCATTCTGCTCTAAAGCCGCAATATTCTTAGACCCCGTTCATTTCGCTGATTCGAGTTTAGAATTAAAATTTTTCTACAGTAAAAAGCTCTCACAAACAATTACATCTAACTTTTTTACTACAGTAAAAAGCTCTCACATAAAGTCACATCTGAACTCGAATTAAAAACTCGAATCAACGAACTAAACGGACCCTTACTCTCGTTGACGGGGAAGATTTTATAACTTAAATTCCTGATTTTTAGGCATTCAAAAGTTCATAGAAGGATTTTTTGAGCTTCTAAAAGATGAAAAAAAAGATTTTTTGGGTTGAATTCTCCATCACCCATTTTCTATTAAGAAATTTTATTGAGACCTCAAAATTTTATTAAAGTGCCTTAAAATATTTAAAATTTAAATTTATTTTATTTGTAATATTAAAAGTTCACATAATTTCGTAAATACCCTTAATACACACTATACCTTTTCTTTTCTTTCAATGAAAATGAATAAAAAAAAAATCTGATTCTCCAGAGTAAAGAAGAAGAAGAAAAAGCAGTCAGAGATACTCACTGAAGATATTTTCGATTCTCATGTCCTTTTTTTAAAGTTTTTTCTTTTAAAAATTCGACTGTTGGATCGGATTTCCTCAAGCGTTGTTTTCCTTTCTCTCAGTCGTTTTTTCACTCTACTTTTTATATAAATTGCTGGATGAAAAAAGTTGTTCCATTCGTGGAAGTCTTGGTTTAATCAGTGTCTTTATAGGGTGATGTGGAGTTTTCCCATGGCAATTGATACAATTTATGTTAAAGTATAAAATTATTGTTGGCTCACCTCCTAACAGTTTAAGTTTTTAGTTTAAGCTTTTAGGCTGGATTGGTAAACTAACATGGTATCAGAGCGGGAGGTCATGAGTTCAAACCCCCGTAATTGCACTCTTTATTCCCATTTAAAAATTATCATGTGTTGGGTCTTTAATATATCTCGGGCTTAAATATTTACGTGTTGGGCTTTTTAATTAATTTACCCACACGATTGCCCATTGTTCAGCCCACACGTGAAGGGGAGTGTTAAAGTATAAAATTATTGTTGGCTCACCTCCTAACAGCTTAAGCTTTTAGTTTAAGCTTTTGGGCTGGATTGGTAAACTAACAATTTCTCTACAGCTTTTGAGGGAAGCAAGCGTTTTTCATCTGGAAACCAATTAGCCCCTCTTAAATCCACACCCAAGAAAGATATTTAGATGAAAATGAGCACACACAAAAAAAAAAAGGTCATACCGAAAGATCTTAACCAAAAAGAAAAAAAAAGGATTTAATCTATTTAAGAAAGAATGAAACGTGAAAAATATGAGGTGTGTATAAGGGTATTTATGAAACTATGTGAGCTTTTCATATGAAAAATTAAATAAATTTATGTCTTTCAAATACATTGGGTGCCTTGATAAAATTTTTGGATGTAAGTAAAATTTCCATTTCCTATTTAGTCCAATTATTTTAAAACTCCTAAATGAGACTTAAAATCAGATTAGACAAAAAAATAAATGAGTCTACTTAATTATTTATGGCCCACCAAATCATGACCCATGCGAGTTCTCTAAGTGTGACTTGGGTCCACAAAATGAGCCAAACTACGTCACAAGACGAGATTATTAGACCTGAACCCTCGACATAATCAGCCATCAATAAAGCCCCAAACTCAAATTCAATCTCTAGTTAAATTTTGTTAAAAATGTAAGAAAAATATTAAAATAATATTATATCTTAAAATGAGGGCAAATACCCTTTTCTCTCAACATTTCCTGCAAAAGAAACATTAAAGATCCAATTCATTGTATAAAAAAGTTCATATGTCAACAACTATCAATAATAAACAAAACTAGATCATTAAGTTCTATGCTTTGGATAAAAGATTTTCAACTTGGAAACATAAATTCTTGTTCTTAATGACAACGAAAGACGAAAAAAAAAAAAAACAACAAACCGATTCTGTGTATTTGGCATTTGTTGGATTTTCAAAAACAAACATGAACCACAGCCTCTTTAGATATTCGGGATCCTTAGGAGACAAATGTTAGATAACACCTCCGAAGGACCTTAGAGATCTTCGGAGGAAATGAAAAAGAAAATGTCCGTTGGCACTCGAAGTACGCCGGAGATGACCATGAGTAATCCCAAAACAGCTAATAATTTGAACTACTCAGCCGGTTCTCTTCAGTAGTAAAAAATGAGACAGTTCTCTACGGTGACAAATGTACAGAATAAGTAACGACTTGAACATCTTTAGGCCCCGTTTAGTTCGCTGATTCGAGTTTTTAATTCGAGTTTTGCTACAGTAAAAAGCTCTCACAAACAATCACATCTAACTCTTAGTACACATCACCCACGTATGAAAAGTACATCTCTATTATAAATCCAACGACTTTGGTAGCAATAGTGCATCTGAAATATGAATTTCTCCACAACAAAAACATGCATGAATTAGACATTTTTATAGCTATCATAATGGTTTTGTATATTTATATGAAGACTGTTAGGGTCAAAATCATCTCTATGATAATTACCGTACACGTAGATAAAATTTTGAAAAAAAAATGTCAATTGGATTGATTGAACGTAGACCAACTCAAGAAACCGTGTCGACTGAAGAAACATGTTAATAGAAGACTCGTGAGGACCACCACAGATAAATAAAAAAAGAAAGTTGCTTGGAAGCCAAGAAGTCCAAATCAATCAAATATGATAATAAAGGCAAGAATCCGATCAAACCAAATCAGAAAACAAGAGAAAAAGGAAGCCAACAGAAGGCATATAAGGAAACTGCCTTTTCTCCAGACAATTGCAAATTCGCTCAAGAATTAAAAATTTAAGTAGGCTCAAACCATCTCTTATAAATAGGAGATTGCTTCCACGAATTAAGGGAATGATATTCAAAACTGACTCTGCCCCTCTCTAGATTCTCTCTCTAAATCATTTCTCATCTCTTCTTCGCCATTGTAATTGTATTTTTTACATTATATATTGAAACCTTCAGCGCTACAGTAGATGCTGTCTTTACATTGAAATTAACTGTTAGAAATTTGCGTTGTCTTTTTTTTTTTTTTTTTATAATTTATTTTCTCTCATTCGAGTTTTTAATTCGAATTAAGATGTGATTTTATATGAGAATTTTTTACTATAAAAAAAATTAAATGTGATTATTTATAAAAAATTTTTACTGTAATAAAATTTAAATTTTAAACTCAAATTAATAAAATAAATGAGACTTAAATCAACTCGTCAATCCCCGTTGACGTCTGGAAGCGGCCAGAAAGACGATGATGAAAAATATTTATAGATCATTCCCTTCTTTTGTCAGAAAAGACAAATTTTATGAAAAGCTAGTTAGCGCAACTGTTTCTAGCACTGTAAACGTGAATAGATGGATTGGCCATTAGATTTTCCCTCAATTTGTGAAATTATTATTATTTTTATTGTCCTTTTTATGGAACATTTGATGAATGAAATCACGATGGCATGTTTTGAGACAATTTCCTCGACTATTTGTCTGTACAGTCTTTCAAAGCAATTACAACGTCCTCCACTATTTCAAAGCATTCTTTGCATTCTTTATAATGATGATGTCAATAAATTTCTATAAGATGGTTTGTAAATATAGTGAAATAAATTTATCAGAGAAAAACCCACAATCCACAATTCCTTTCTCACAAAACAAAAAGTTATGTTTCCAGCCACAAAAAAAAAAAAAAAAAAAAAAAAAAAAAAAAAAAATATTTTTTCCCCCCCCCAAAAAAAAAAAAAAAAAAAAAAACAAACAATTAACATTTCGTAGCAATACAAGCTCTACAATATCATACCAATTTTGACTCGCTAAATAACATCGTGCTAAAAGTGACCAATGTATTTCTCTAAATAATAATTAACTTCTTTAATTAAAATTGAAGTTCATCAATAAATAAAACATTCCTACATGTAAGTAAATTACACAGACAAAAGAAAGATCCAAAGGATCGTTTTCAAAATTTTGATTAAAAAAAGAAATAGTATAAAATCTAACAATAATTACACCACTGAGGGGAAAGAAAAGGCACTTTAACATAGAAATATTTATCATATCTTCTGTTTTAAATTTCTTATCATTCTTCACAGTTTTTTTTTTCCTTTTTTTTTTTTTTTAAGTTAAGAACTTCCAGATCCCTTTTATCTTCTCAACTTCCACGCCATTTTCCATAGTTAACTTTTTCTTTTATTTTTTGAGGAATTTTTTTTGACAAATCAAGTCATAATTTGAGTCATGATCTGTGAGAAAAAAATACTATAGTAAAAAAATTAAATTTAAATTTTTATGAAAAAAAACATTGTAATAATATGATTTGAGTTATAATTTGAGTTATTTACCAAAATTTTATAATTTTTATAATCATATTTAATATCAAAATTAAGGAGATACTTGCAATTAGAATCCGAGCAAAAGTTGTGGCCACAATGGCTCAAACATTACAAAAAGTTTGTTTTTTTTTTTTTTTTAAATACCTTATAGAAGACGAAATTTGACCTTTGAATATTAGTTGCCATTTCCACCTCAAATTCCATGTGCCACACGTGCTTTTCCCCTTGGTCGGAGGGTCGCGTAGAAAATTGTTATATTCCACTCAGCGGACGAAGAATGGAATTGTCTCTAATGATATATGTATATTTTTTTAAAATATGTATAATATAAAGGGATAATTATAATTTTTTAAACACATATATACATATTTTAAAAAATATATATATTTAAAAAATATATACATATTTTAAAAATAAATATACATATACATCCGGTGAAGACTTTACCTCTATATATTATATATATATATATATACACACACACACACATACATATATAGAAAGAGGGAGAGCATGCACTTAATACAAACATCGCCCGCGTGATGTATTTGTCGCTTTTCACTTCCGTGGCTCCAAAAAACCCACTGAAATAAATGTATCAAAATTGAAAAATCCACTTTCCTTCTCGTTCCCATGTCCTGTTTGTGTCTAACCAGCTGAAAACCACAGAGGAAGAAAGAAGAAGCGCTGAAGAATTAAGAGTCGCAATTTCATGGCATGTCCATTTTCAACGAAATGGGGAAGAGACTTCATCTGCTTCTCCAACGTCCCAAGCTCACATAATGGTAGAAGACTCGATTTCCTTGCTTCTTCCTTAGACCTTTCTTCTTCTTCTTCTTCTTCTTCCTCTTGTTGCTCTTTTGCTTCTTCCTCTTGTTCCTCTTTTTCTACTTCTTCTCAAAGAGTAATTAGTTACAGACAATTATATGGGACGATTAAGAAATCACTTGAAATTGGGAGAAGTCGAACTGGGTCTGTGTCAGCTACACGGAGCACAAGTTTCAGTAATGAAAATGGATCAAACATGGTGTGGAAAATGCCAGTTGGAAGAGAAAAGAAACCATTTTGGAGAAAGATTTTGTTTGCTTCGAAGAAGGTCAGGAGTATTATCTTGCTCAATGTGATCACCGTTGTCTATGGTATGACAAATATAGTCTTTTCTTGCTTCTCCTATCCTAAAAGAGATTTTCCATTAGAATTTTGTTTCGATTATCTAATTTTGGATTGGTAATTTCACCTACTTAAGAGTTAAATTTGCTTATTTATTTCATAAGGTCAGACATTTTGTTTGATAATTACATTAAAACTGATCGTGCAACGTAAGTGTCTTGTATGACATGATCCTTTGTAAATCATTATAGGCTCATACTTGTTATATAACTATTCTTTAACAACGTTAAGCTATTAACTAATCATTCTGTAGATAATCCTTTAATAAGACATGATCTTTTTAAGGAATGCTTTAATCTCAACGTGCAGCAAGTGACATTCTGGTTGTTAAAGGGGCTGAAGCTACCATGGACCCAGCAGCCTTCTCGGCAGTGCGATTTGTCATGTCAGCAATCCCATTTTTGCCGTTTGTGTTTCGGGCTCGAGACAATGCTCGGACCCGTAATGCAGGGATAGAGTTGGGGTTCTGGTTGAGTCTAGCATACTTCATTGAGGCAGTTGGACTACTTACTTCAGAAGCTGGGCGTGCATCATTCATTTCTCTGGTTACAGTTGAGTTCAACAACTTTTTGAACAAACGTCACTCTTATTTTGACACCTTTTCAGGCGTTGTTTATTTTATTGATTCGAGTTTTCAGTTCTAAGTTTCTACGGTTAAAAACTTTTAAAAAATGTCACATCTAACTTTTTCTGTTACAGTTAAAAGCTCTAAAAAAATATTACATATCAGTTCGAATTGAAAACTCAAATCCGCGAAGCGAACGAGACCTTAATATGCATCCAACAGGAAAGGAAACTGGAAAAGTATCCTCTATTCAAAATGGCTTACTTTATTCCATCAACTTTCCAATGACCCTCAGTTGTCTTTTCTACTATCGTACTTAATGTAGAGTATATGGAGCCTAATTATTACTCTTATATAGAGTTAGCATACCGATCGTTCTTAAACCTAATAATTTTCCTTTTCAACTTAACCAAGTTAGAAATGCAGCTGAAAACAGACGTAATCCTCACATTGAGACTGAATGCTTTTTTTATTATTCTCCACAATATAGGCTTAGTGCATCTAATTCGTAACGGTAGTTGCAATTACAATTATATATTTTCGAGCTACACGGCTTGAATCTTCTTTTATTTTTCATTTGGTACGGATTAAGATTCCAATTTCAATATGTAGAAACAATAATGATCAGGTGGTACTTTGAATAGGTAATAGCAGTACCGTTGCTTGATGGCATGCTGGGAGCAATTATACCCGCCCGAACCTGGTTTGGAGTTCTTATGTCTACAATTGGAGTTGCTGTACTGGAATGCAGCGGATCCCCTCCAAATGTAAGCGACTACAAGACTTTTAAAAAAGCAATGTTTTAGATGTTTCTTCTCCAGATTGTGTTGGACAACAGTTGGTGTAAGCAGATCAAAGATTTAATGGCAGTAATGTGGATACCATGGCTGATTTATGGCCTTGTTATATGACAGATTGGTGATCTTCTGAACTTCTTGAGTGCAATATTTTTTGGAATCCACATGCTTCGAACTGAACATATTTCGCGAAGCACCGAGAAGGAGAACTTCTTGGCAATTCTTGGATACGAGGTGAGGAAACCACTTCTTGGAATTCACACCTCACAAATTTCCTATAAACAATTTCTAACACTTGGGAATTCCACTCCGTGAATTTGAACAATTCCATGGTTTCATTTAGACATGCGTTGCTGCTCTTTTCTCCACCATGTGGGTATTCCTTGGAGGGTGGTTTGATGGTGAGCAAGATTTTCTGCAGTCAACATGGGCTTGGACAGAGTTATGGAATTGGATTGTTGCATTTCCATGGATTCCTGCGCTTTACACTGGTGTATTTTCCACTGGAATTTGCTCATTTATTGAGGTATCATTCCTCATTTTTCATTCGATACCTTATTTGTTGTTCGTGCTGTATTGGATACCGTAGTACTAGCTACTAGATTGCTTTCTTTTGTCCCGTCATTCACTCAATTTTTCGTAATTTGTCCTGTCATTTTCACTCATTTCATTCACTGCTATAATCTGGTTTCTACTTGTAAATTATTGAATGTTTTCAAGTCTCATTTTCTTCTCCCTTCTCTTTCCAACGACCTCCAATTTCTTAGCATTTTTACTACCATGGACTTAACTTGGTGTGATTATTAGCACTGCCTTTTAACCCCGTTTCTCATGGATCGTTTTTGTCCCTGCAGTTTTCAGCCATGCGTGACGTTTCAGCGGCGGAAACAGCCATAATTTATGGGCTTGAGCCAGTCTGGGGTGCCGGTTTTGCGTGGTTTCTCCTCGGTGAAAGGTGGGGTGCAGTTGGATGGATTGGAGCTACTTTTGTTCTTGGTAAATATTTCTCTCAATCTCCAAGATGTCTCTCAACGCGTCGAGAGCATGAAAACTTAAATGTCGACTAAAGTTTGAAAAAGATTACAAGGATGGTTTAGGAGTTCATTATTGTCGGCTTCCAATTGACATGTTATAGTAAATTGTATTGTGCCAGTAAGATATTATATGTCACAATACAACTTATCCTGACACATCAAACTAGGCTTAAATATTAAAATCCGCGCATTTTTATATGGAGAAAACAATAGTTAAGAGGGTCGCAAAGCCTATTTGATTAGATGAGACATTCATCAAAGAAAGAAAGATTTGGTTATACGGACTTAAATGGATTGCTCTAACGTTTTGGTAGGTGGAAGCTTAATTGTGCAGATGTTTGGAACTTCACCTACAAAGGAGGAACTCAAAGAGGCCGAAGAGAGTAATCAGAAATGTGATCTTCTTGCTCCGCACGAGCAGTTAATAAAGAATGGTCTCTCTGCTTCACCAATTGTAGTCAGATCCCGAAAAGATGTTGTAAATATACTGAAGTGACCCTTACATATCAAGTTTTAAGTATAACTGCAAATATTGTATAGGCAAGTCTTTTAGGTATACATTTGTTTCATGTATACATGTTTATTCGACGCTCTAATAACTTACAAGGGAATGTCTGGACTTACCCTGCAACAGAAACCCCACAATTAAGGGGCTAAAAGGAAAAAAGGTATCCATGCAGTTTATATATGACGCAGAATCTTTTATAGGGTGTTTGATATGAGAATTCGTATCATGATTCGAATCATGATTTGTGGCTCGCTACAATATTTTCTCTCACAAAAAACACATATAAACTGAGAATGGTTCGTCTTGAATCCATGAACTAAACGTCCACTTAGAATATACCATCATCAACATGCCATAAGCCTTGTAGCAGAAATTTGACATGAGGGAGTATTTTATCTAACATGAGAAATTCGTATAATCAATTCAACAACCTAATTCAATTGAAAGATATGACCTTCACTTTCGGTAATGTCAAAAGACAACCGGTTTGAGCACGTAATTCTGTTCACGAATAAACCTTGCTATGCAACTGCTTAGCCATCCGACATACAGATAAACGTGCAGCCACTACGAAGCATAAGGTAAAACATTCCATTAAGGAAATTATAGAAGCGTATCAGTTCTCGCCATTATTACTAATACATATAAGGCCTTCATAATAAAACAGGAAACAGGAACATCTCATCGGCTAGAACAGAAAGAAACAGAACGGAAAGATAGTTCAAAAGATATTCGAAGTACTAGAATAGCAGGTGATAAGTCTCGGAGTTCATTTTTTCTTGGCAATAAACAGGCCCCACCTCTGCTCACCAGATGTAGTCCTGATTAGCTTTGCCTTCCATCCACCAACGATATCATAATAGTCCTCCTACATGAGATCGTAACCAGAAAATGAACATATAATGAGGATGGTCCTTATAGAGAGAGAACTACCAATGTAGCGTGACAAATGAACGAAGAAACTCACCTCAGAGAAATCACTGATGAATTCATTCTTTTCTTTCTCAATAACACTTAATTCCCGCTGCAGAACTTCTATGAACTGAACAGAAAGAAAGAAAAGAAAAAATAAAAAAGGTATTTTAAAATCAAGATACAAATCTATTGATGTTCAAACATGATAAAGCCATCGGATCATACAAACCTGTCCAGTGCGATCCTCAGCAATGACTTCTTCAAAACCAGCATCCCTAAGCATCTGAGGTACAACAAAGAAGGAACTCATTATGCAAAAGAAGAATGAAGAAAGATCAGAGGGAAGTCATGAGTTAACATTTCAGATGTGAACATACTTGGCCATACGCTTCTACATCATGGAGATCATATCCCCTCTGCTTAATATACTTAGCGAATTCCGGTGATGGAGTTCCAGCACTCTGACAATAATCACTGATGAGAACCTTTCCTCCTGGCTTCAACCACTTATAGAATGACCTGAATAGCGCAGGCTTGTCCTGTAATTATTTGAACATTGCACGCACATACATTAAGATTACGTGAGAAGATGTACTCAGAGTAACAAGAATAAAACACTAGCAGCAAAATGGATTAATCCAGGAATGCATTGATGCTTCAATGAAGGAATCAAGATAAAAAATTAAAAAAATAAAAAATAAAAAATAAAAAAGAGAGTGCCTTACATCAATGTGTAATATAGTGTCCCGGCTGTATATCACGTCAAATGAGTTCTCTGGATATGTCTTTTTAGTGCAATCAGCAACTTCAAATTCAACAGAGCACTTCAGCCCAATTGCACGTTCAAGAGCAAGAGAAATCATATTTATGGAGAGGTCAATGCCCACAACCTCAACATCAAAATTCTCAGCCATATAAAAGTCTCCTCCTCCAATGCCACAGCCAACATCTAGAACTCTCTGACTAGGCTCAAGGTCTAACTTGGCCACAAATTCCTTAGTTGTTTCTGCAAAAGCAACCAAAAATAGGAAATTGTAAATGGAAGTTTCCACGAAGGATAGCTCAAGATATATGCTATCAACTTTTTATTATGTAAAGCATTAACCGTACACATTTTATAGAAACTAGAGGTACTGAAAGACAGATGCTAGTGCTCAGGTTAATACATAATTAGCAAAATCTACGGAACACAGTTGTATCTATCTATTCAGTCACCACACACAGAACAATCGAGCTTCATGTCATGTGCAGACAATTTTTGTACTTAGCATATGCATTTGGGGATCTTTATTTGCTTTCATATGTTTCTGTTAGATTTCCGATAAGAGAAATTAAGTTCAAATGAGGAGATGTGTAATACCAATTCCTCCAGTGCTGACAAAACCTGATCCAAAAACACGCTCATAGCGTAATATGCCATTACATTTATACTGAACAGTATCTAAGAACTGCTGAAACCCTCTATCATCCTGTGAACTGACTTTCTGCCAAAGCCAGCAAATCTGCATTATGCAAACATATTATCAGCGAGCCTATTCAACTGATAAAGGAACACCTACCCTTTAAATGTTGTAAATGTTATCACCTGATTTTGATTCTTTTTATTTCGCACATAAGCTCCAATACATTTGCTGCCAACAAGAGACAATTCAAAGGAATTGCCAGATCCATCCCGTGCCTGGCATTCCTTAAAAACCTGGAAGAGCAATTTATTATGTAGAGATTGAAAAGCGGGAAAAAAAAAAAGAAAAAAAAAAAGAACATTTGATGTAATAAATGGATATACTCGGCAAACTGGGCCAGTTACAAATAACTTTGACCATTCTAAACAGTTTAAAAATGATCCAAAAACATTTAAGCTTATTGACTAGAATTACCATCACAAGGTTAAAATAATAATATCAGTAATAGCAATAGTAATAGTAATAGCAATAGCAATAATAATAATAATAATAATGATAATAATAATGATGATAATGATAATAAATAAAAACTTGTCCAGTTACAACAGACGAGCAAAACAAACTGTGATGAGTGCAAAAGTTGTTGAACAATAGTTTCACATTAGCTCTACTAGTGATTTAGGTGCTGTTTGGAATTGTTTCAGTTGTTTTTGAAAATGTTTCTGCATGTCTTTTGAGGCAAGAAAATGAAAACGGTCTCTAAACCGCATTGTTTGGTTCGCAAATACTTTGAAAACGATAACAAAAACAAAAAGTAGTGAGAATGGTTTTTGTTAAGGAAATAGAAAATAGAACAAAAACAAAAAAAAAAATAGCAGGTTAATTGCTTTTTTAGCCAATACTCTAACGAGCAAAAGCATGGCATATTCTATGTATAATAATACTTTGTGCACTACTACAATGACTGACAGACTAAAGACAAAGTTCAAATCACATTATCCAGTCATTTCCACTGAACATGTTTAAATAAGAAAATAGGAAGACAAACCCTGGTATAGAATCTAGGTTCCCGATAATGGGTTGGGTTGTATTTTCGCTTCGAGTCTCCAGATTGGTGGAAACAAGATTCTCTGAAAAATATATATCCTCCGACCTTCAACCATTTGACCATTCTTTCTGCCAAATTTTCTACCTGTATATTGGAAGGAAAGAAATTATCGGCAATGAGATGTTAATGGCAAATCTTATTTCATTACAATGGCAACGCTCAACAAAATGAAACAAATGGTAAATTACTCTAGGATTCGTCATATCCCTGTGATTGAAATGTTATAGCATCCATGGAATAAGAATAAGAAATACTGTATATGACACTCCAGTAAGACCACCAATAAAATTCAATTGAAAAACACATAAAAACAAAAGGAGCGCCAATAAAAAGGACTAAAAAGTTTATTTAAAAAAAAAAGTAGCAGAGCAAGACAGCTAGAATGCTAGAAGAGAAATTACATGTAATGATGCTGGCAATGAACATAAAAAAGCACAGTTTGAAGACTTTGAAGTTCCATAAAGCATATCAGATGCTTGTAAACATTGATTACCTCCTTATCAGACAAATACATGAGAAGCCAATTGGAGAATATCAAGTCCACCGAGTCTTCAGATATGTTCAGATCAGGGGATGTAACATCAGCACACATAAACTTGACATTCTTGTAGTGCCCATTAATGCTTTCATTCTGCATACAAGTATACAAATTAAATCAGAAAATAACCCCCACAAATACATGTGACTTCCCATTTCACTTCAGGATTGTATCAAATGTGGTTACCTTCTTAATGACACTCTCTATGAAGTCCATAGCAACAAGCTGGCCAGCCTTTTGAGCTAATTCGGAAGTAAAGCGACCGATTCCCGCTCCCAGTTCTAAAACTGATTTACCTTCATATGGTGGGAGCAATGATAGTACCTGTAGAAATAACCAATCCCATGTCATAAACTACATTTATACAAACAAAATAACCAGCAATCTCTTGCACAAAACATACAGTAAACTAAATATATATATATACCTTTTATTTTTACTTAATTGATAAAAGTAAGGAATATAGATCTGCACTACAATTGAGATCATTGAAAGACCACATTTTCGCAATTTCATGAGTGATATTATCTGCTTGGTTGAAAGTTTAGTAAGGTTAGAAATGTCGGTCAAAAAAATTTCTCCAATTTTCACAGTCGGACAATAAATTTGCAACAATGTTCACATCTAAAGAATACAAGATTGTTAATTATCAAGAATAAAATCGGAATAATATACCCTTGATTTCATCCAAACTACTTCTTTTCTACTATTTAATAAATAGTATTCATTATCTTATATAGAGAACAGAGTTAATCACATTCACAATAACAATCAGCGTTCTTAATATGCAAAATTTATACAAAGAATATACCTCAGGCCGCTCTTCTTTGTCGAGATCGGAGGCTTTGGAATCGAGCATCATGGCCTCCACCGTCAGATCCGCGGAGTGCTGCATCCAGTAGATCTTCTGCTTCTCACGCTCTTGCCCTACATTTCCAATCCAAATTCCGAAAAATCACAACTACATCAGAAACATCAAGATCAAACAATTCAGCAAACCATACAAATAAAAAACGTCTTTTCTACTTCTACCATTAGCATTCACAGTAGCAGCGTCAGCCATTGTAGTCGACAACAGAGAAAACAGAAAAAACGGAGATCGAAATGGAATTTTCGGGTGTTTGTTTGGCGAGAAAGA